GCCGGTGCCGACCCGGGATCCGCGCGGCTCGCGCTGTCCGGACGTGGTCCATCCATCTTGGCGCTGGACCCCAGCCGCACGCTGTGGCACACTTGTGTGTTGCACACCTCTGTGTGCGCGCTGCTTCCCTCCGGCCAGGCCTCTTACCGATTGCACACAAAACCTGACCTAGTGCTCCCTTCCCCACCGTGTTTGCAAGTCCAGAGTGAGCTGGCCGCCTCCTCCCCGTCCCTCCTCTGCGGCTGGGCTCTGAGTGCTTTCAGTCCGCGGCTTGTTAGTTCCACGACGTAGTAGAATCTACAATTTCCATTCGTGACCTGCTGTGAAAAGAGTGACAAATGGCAACACTGTCCGAAGAAATCGCTTCGGAGCTATGCTTTTATTTCTAAGTGCATCTCTTATCGACGGAACACCTAGCACAATAACTCGTGTAAAACGCGTATGTGCCACAGTGCACAGTGATAAAGTGCGTTTTTAGAGTACAGTACTTTTAAAACCACGGCAGATTTTTTTAAATGAAGGATCCACTTCAGAATACTTCCGTGTATCTGTCTTTAGGAAGGGAGCATATTATTTAATTATACCGCTATTAAGTAGATCTTAAAGCTACCTAAGATTTCAGTTGCTGAAAAGCATCTTTTCCCCATGAGCAAAACTGTGGTAAATTTAGGTTTCATTCGTTTTGAAAGATTCTGGCCTTGGTTTTGTACCAGTGATTATGAGGGAGTGGGAACGTTGCACTTCGGATGCCATTGAAGAGAACATTTGTTTTAGCATGTTACTGCTGTGTTCATTTCTCAGCAAATGAAATGGAATGTGCTGGTTTATGCTTATCAGAGTCTAATGCTTAAATACATGGGCTTTTAGAGTTTTGTAAACTGGAAATAAAGCTTATAATCCTCCTTCAGTGCCTATGGTTTTAATAATTAGGAAACTCCCAGTAGATTGCAGTAGGGTCACTCGTTTGGTACTGCAGTGAAGACTTGGGTTAACAGCATTTTGAAACAATGCAGTGCTAATTCCCGTTTATTTTTAGACTACACGCAATTACTGAGGCTGTTATAATATTTGCAGTTGTAGAAATTGTTTTTCTCAGTGTTGGCCACAAAACATATGGGCCTCACAGATGAATTTCCTGCCTCATAAAACGACTAGAAAGACAAAAGTAATGTAGCTAATTCAAAAGAGCTATTTGGCTTGTTTGTTGTTGAGTAATGTGTATTAGTTATTTTGGTTCAGATTGCTTTCTCGGGGTTTTATATTTCTGTTAAATTTGTTAGTACAGTAATAATTACTGTGGCAGAAGTTTCTGATACACATTTTGAGCAGATTTTATTTTTATGATGTAAAATGATGTGTTCACTGTAGTGTTCGTATTCGACTCTGAGACCTTTTGCACAACAGGTTGTGTCATTTTTGCAAATACAGTGAAAACCTGCTTGTAGAAGTGGGTCATTTTGAATAGCTGCCGAGAATTTTAGATAAATGAGTTCATTTTTATATGAATAAAGATGTTCTAAAGATGTTATGTACATTGCTTCTTTAATGTAATGACATTTCACCCAGCTTCCCCGGAATTCTCAGGTTGCTATGCAGCCTTGGTCATTGGGCGGTCTTCTTTCTCTCTTGGTGCTTTCCTCTCTGTGCCGCTTTATTTGCATCACTTAGCTAGCCGGGCCAAGAAATGGAAAAGTAGTTCAAACACACTGTAGTTTAGTCCCCATTTTTTAAAGTTTACATGGGAATTTGAAACTCTATGCAAAAAAAAAAAGAAGTTTTGAATTTGAAATTCATTCTCCGCTACCTGTGACTTTCCTTGACTGACCTGTCCGGAGTTAAGTGAACATTTCATGAATGTATGTTAAGTCTGCCTGGCAAGAGACACATTACCCTTTGAAGCTTCCTGTCTTGTTACAGCACAAGGCAGAATATTTACTTGGTAGCACTCTGTTTCAGGAAAATTGTCAAGTTTGAGAAGAAACACCTGAGCTGTTTTCTCTCATTAATTTGGCTCTCTTCATATGAGTGAATGAGTAATGCTCTTGGAAAGAAAATGTTGGTATTGAGAATAGGAACCATGTTTTATTGGTAAGGGTGATGTTTATTTAGCAAGTCATTTATTGAATGACTGCTCTGTGCCATATTTACTTGATATTTAGTATGAGAGAGAATTAGTGTTAAATTAGTCTTTGTGCCTCGAAGTTGTGCTCTCCGGAGTCTCCAGTCTCCCTCTAGAGAGACCAAAGACAGAGGTCTTTTATTTATTTATTTTTTTTGGTACCAGGGTTCAAACTCTGATGTGCCTCAAATTTGTAATACAACCAGGGAGACAGGAATGTTGTATATAGTCACAGTATGTTGTGGTACATATTATGATTTTACTATGAGCAAGTGTGTGAGGCTCTTTACAGAGGAGATAATATCCAAGTTTGTCTCATATATTCAGAGGCTATGCAGAAGAGATAGTGAACTTGGCTATGCAAAATGTATACATAGTTCATAAAGTGTAGAAACAAAACTGCAGCCATACATAGCATACAGAAAGGTAAAAAGGCACCAGGACACATTGTGGGTGAATAGAATTTATAATATATTATCATTAATGTAAAAAGAGAGACAAGCGTATCATTAATGTAAAAAGAGAGACAAGCGCTATAAACATACTTGCTTGTATGAATGTAAAATATTTCTGGAAGCACTCAATCTGGTCATGGCTGCCTTCTCAGGCAGGGGAAGTAAGTGGCTAAAAGACCAGGAGTAGGAAAGATCCTTTCTTTTGAATCTTGAATTTTAAAATATATAAGAATAAATTTTAAAACAGCATGTGTAAGTTATTAGAAAGATAAAAATAGATTTTAAAGTATCTCTCTCAAGCCTTTAATATGTACACATACAGCAAGAAAACACAGGAGTGTGTTTCATTAAGGTTTCTCTTGAGAGAAGCTGGACTTTGGATTGTAGCGAGATTATGTTTAGGGGAGACTGGAGTACCTAGGACTGTTTTAGGGGAAATGTGTGAAACTGCATTTGTGTAGGTCAAAAATTTTTTTCCTTTTTTTGTTAATTGTGGAAATTGAACTTTTCGCAGTTTGAATTCACAGTTAAAAGTTGTAAGGCAACCCATTCGGGACCCCTCCTATCTCTCAGGAGCTGTTCTTCTTCCCCATTCCTATTCCCCAATAAATTTTCCTACTTGTAACCTCTGTTGTTCCTTAGAATTCATTCTTTGACTTCGGGGAGCATGAACTTGGCGTATCTGACATCTAGTATGTTGGGAGTTCCATCTGTTCCCTGTATCAGAAGGAAACACATGTCACATAGAGCTTGCTGTTGTGGCTTTCCCCACAGAAGTCTGCCCTGCATCCTCTGGGATGTACTTTTATCTTGCTTTTTCCTCTTTTCCTCAGCCCAAGCTTACTGAAGAGTTCACGAGTGAGAAATGATGGTGAGAGATTAGGAAATTTAAAGAATAAGACAGAGAAGACAAAGAGGTCAGTATAGTTTACATAGCTGAAGCCAAGTGGAAACTCCTGATGGGAGAAAAGGCTTGGCTTGCATTCTCTATTTATAATGTAGGTAAGGAAACCAAAAGGGGATGCCTGATTAGGAGACAGTGCTTGATGTTTCTCTGCCCAGTGGGTGGGAAGGAAGAGAGTCCTCCTCAGGAGGAGGTGAGTCAGGCCTGGCCATGGTGATCTACAACGAAGAGCTCCCAGCAGCTCTTTCCTCTTTTACTCAGCCCAAGTTTAACTGTGCAGAGCCAATTTCTCCCTCACTCTTCACTTTTATTTTTTCAAATAAACTGTCACCATTTTTTTAAAGGTATAAAAATTTTAGTGTTTAAAATCATTTTTTTTAGCTCCTGGGAATTTCTAGATTTTTTCTGTCTTTTGAAAGGGCTAGAGATGAGTCAGAAAAGGACAGCAGGAACAAGGTCATAGAAATAGTACTTAGGTGTAAAGGTAATTGAGCTTAAAGTCATTTTGGGTGAGGGCTTGCTCTCTAAATAACCTATGTAAGATAGCCAGTTTATGTTGGAGTTCCCCTACTGTAGAGTCCTGCTCAACCATGGCAACCTGAAAACAGAGGAAAGGAGGAGCTGGGGACATGTGTACACCCTGAAGGTCATGTCCTCAGCAACCACCGGCACACCACCTGGGAAGTCCTAATTGGACGAGTCCTCTGAGAGTCTAATGATCCCACGATCCCATCACCATCCAGAAGCTCCACTCTGGATCCATGAGACCAGACGTTTTAAGCTGAAGCCATAACAAATACATTATAGTTAACATATATAAACTGCAAAACTTCACTTTATTTCTGTATTTTTATTGTAACATTTAAAAATGAGAGAGCAACAGAATCATGAAATTTGCGGGATGTTTGCGGTGGTTAGGGTGGAGCATCAACTTGATCAGCTTTGGGATCCGAGGCAGGGTGCGGGTGGGGTTGGTGGAACACTCTTCTGGGTGTGTCGGGGGGTTCATGGAGATGTGACTTTGGGGTCTGTCTGTGGTCCCTGGCCCTGTCCTCCCTGGCACTGTTCTGCTCTGCTTCCCAGCTACCATAAGTGAAGCAGCTTTGCTCTACCGTGTCCTTCCACCTTGATGTTTCTGCCCGAGAGCCAGCCACCCGTTCGCTGAATGAATCCCTTAAAACATGAGCTGGGTTAAACTCTTCTTTTAAGTTGTGGGTGTCGGGTATTGTGTCCCAAGGTAGGGAAGCTGATGAATGTGGTGTTTGACCTTGTTTTTGTGAAAGTATCTGGTTTGATGAAAATGCTTAGAGTTCTTAGTTCACAAGGTGCTTATCAGAAATTTTTGGTCAGATTTTACTCTCCATGCTTCGTTCCTGAAAATATATTCACAAATGTACACTCTAGCTGGGGATTTGGCTCAGTGGCTCCGCCATGTGCAAGGGCCGGAGTTTGATCCCCAGTACCAAAAAACAAAAACAAACAAACAAACACTGTCAAACAGTGATGATGTAAGTAAGGGTGATTGTGTGTGGCAAGGGATATTTTCCTCTGGGAAGACTGGTCTTATAGAAATCTAGTAAAGAGATGTGATCAAATTTTTCTTGAATAGCTGATGGCAACTCTCTACAATGCATTTGAAACTTCACAGGGAGGGTATTTATGTCGGCTAAAGATGGAGTTGCAGTTGTACCAACATGTGCATGGGGAGGTTGAAACACTATTTTTGGTAGTTGCCATGTTTTACCAGCCAAGTCACACAAGTACCTGTTGTATCTGATAGATGGGTTTCTGTTCCACTGGACTGTGGCAGGTGCTGGAGCCACAGTTAGCATTGTGCCCTTTTCTACACAGCATTCTGTTGTCCCTTGCACCATCCATGCGTGAGCACTGCACCACTGAAGTCAAGATAAATACCTCTAAAAATAATACAATAATATTAAATGTTTACAGTCTTGTGGGGCTTCATTATGAACTGTCCAGGACCACATGAGGCCCTATGCTGTGACTGAAATACCAGTCCTCAGCAGTCCATACTGTCTCCGTAGATGTGGCCATGGTATCATTGGCACAGATGGTTTGTGGTGGCTTCCTTAGGGGAATATTCAGTAATGTACATGGGTGATCATAATTGCTTTTCTGAACAATGAGGTTTTTCAGTAGTCATTAACAACATTTATAACTGACAATGTGAAATAGGAAGAAAAGGGCTATAGGTGTAGGGGAAGTGGGAAGGGTAGGGGAAAGGTAATAAGGGAAAAGAAAAAAAATATGAGAAGATGAAAAAAATGGAAATAATGTATTTGTAAATGGGGAGGAGAGGAGGGGGTGATGGGAGGGGAGGTGTAAGGGGAAAAAATGAGAACCAAGACCTGTCATGTAACAGTACAAGATCCCAATGATGAATATAACTATACTGTATACCTAAAATGTACCAATAAACTCAGTGAGAAAAAAAAATAAAAAAAAAAACATTTACAATTTTTAAAAAGATCTAATAGTTAAAATTTTTCATCAAGGGCCAGGGATTTTTTTAATCAAGCACATACTGCATAAACTAGATCGTTAATCTGTTGATATTTACTTAATTCTGTTGTCCAGTGTAATTGTTTTATTTTCAGTTGTTTCTATCTTTTTTTAAAAAATGAACTGAAAGAGTTCTTACTTTACCCCTTCTTATAAATTTCTACCCTTTGGAGATGACATTAAGACCTAATTTATATTATATGGGAAACATTTATGTGACTAACTGGCTCTTTTTGTAAAGGTACAATAACAGGAACTGCAGAGTAGTTTAAGGATTGCTACAAGCCAGGTGCCTGGTCCATAAGAATTGAAATATGCAGTGCATTGGAACATTCACAGTGGGAAGAGTATACATGTCTTCATCAAGGCATAGTTCTGAAGGCCAGATGAATTCATTTAGCACATTTAAATCAAAGCATATTAAGTCGAGAGGTCAGAAGGCTGCATTGTCAAACAAACGCTTTCCTTTAAAGATGTACCAGCTGGAATATATAATTGGGTCTGAATAAAAGGAGAGATATTGGAAAACACCCTAAAATGGCAAAAGATAATTGATTTGCAAATGAAAAACTTTTCTCATGTTTAAGTATAATTGATACTGATTCCAATGTAAGTGTATTTCTAATTATTTTCACATGTGTTTTGCTGACATATAACCAGTGCTTTTCTGCCACGGTCAGGGACTAGTTTGACTAATTTTTGTTTCTTAGAATTTTAGGTAATCCTATTTTATGCTTTCCTGCAGACTGCCTGGTTGAAAATTTGCATAGTTCAAGAATAATTCTCTATATGAATAAACTGTTCATTAAGTGGTTTTATCATTAGCAACATTTTTGTATTGCACTGTGGCTGAATTGTATTATTAAAACTGATGAAAGTGAACCTTACTTTATTTTTGCTATAGAAAATAGAACTGCCAAAGAAATTGGCAAAACGCTACCCAGCATATGAGTTATATCTTTATGGAGAAGGATCCTATGCTGAAGAACACAAAATTCTCCTATTGACAGGAATTCCAGTTCTCTTTCTTCCTGGTAATGCTGGGAGTTACAAGCAAGGTAGGTACTGGGAGTAAATTTGAAAGCTCTGAAATTCAGTTAAGGAAGTCAAATCCTGTGCATGCTTGGTGAAGCAAATGAAGTGCATGAAATACCTACTCTTACGTTAAATACAAGACTGTGTCAGGCTTACTGAAGACTGAGATACATGACACTTTCCCTGCGAGAAAGTACATTTGAGAAGTACAAGGAAAAGACAAGCTGCAGAGTGGGAAGGAGAAAAAGGGAAAGATGGAATGGGGCAGGATAAATAGATTATATAGGTATTTGGGAATCAACAGAAGAAAGAGATTTGCTAGAATGGAGTGTGCAGAGAATGGAACCTGGAATGTTGATTGGAGATAAAGTAGAGGCTTATATATGCTGAACAAGAAAGGAAAGAAAAGACTTTTGGAGCTTTTTAAGTAGATCTAGAGGTACAGAGGGACCACAGAACTATGAAGGTAGGAAAGTTGTATGCACAGATTCCAAATTCATTGTTGGCTTAGCGAAGAACAGCAATAGTTTTTGGCATAACAGCAAAGTATGTGACTGCAAGTAATTTTACTTTCAACTAAAATTTGTTTTCTTGGTCACTAAATGACTAGAATTGTTATGTTAAGAGACTAGAACTGTCCCAGCATGTACTATAATTGCTGATGTGTTTACCCCCCTAGCAGATGTTTATGGTTACCTGTCTTGATCCAGGTAGTACTGTAGGAACTAGGACAGTGATGGCGAACCTTTCAGAGATGTAGTGCCCAAGCTGCAACCCAAAACCCTCTTACTCATCACAAAGTGCCAAACTGCAGTTAAACCTGAATATTGGCCATGCTGGGACGACTTGTCTCATGCATCAACCGAGAGCACACTGTGTGCCTACTGGGGCATGCGTGCTATAGGGACCTGCACTGTACCAGGGATTCAGCACAGCCTGAGACACATAAAGTCCCTTTCTCATCGAGCGTTACTCTTATTGGGAAGATGGCCACCCGACAAACATGTCAGTAACGTTACAGCTAGAAGAAAAGTTAGAGGATAAACAAGGTGAGGAGATGCCTAGTGTAGATGAGGTGGTCAGGAGAGGCAGACCACCATTAGAATTTGAGCAGGCGCTTAAATGCAGCAAGCAATTACATCCCACTGTTTGCAGGGAGGCCCTGAGGCAGGAGTGTGCTTCATGCCTGCAGGGCCACTGTGTCTAGGAAACAGTGAGAGGAGAAGATGAAAGCAGCCGTGGGCTCTCACATCATCTTGGGGAAAGACTGAGTTTCTATCTAAGTGAGATGGGAAACTTGGAATGCTTTGAGTAAGAAATTATGTAATCTCTCGAAACAAAGTGTGAGCAGACATTTCCTGTGGGAATCTTCTTAAAATCCTCAGTGAGTAAGTAGAGAATGAGTGGCCTGTTCACTTTTTATTTACTTATTTAATAAGTTTAGGGCACATTTAAGTATGTTTAAGACACATAGCCACTAGGTTAGTGTGTTCTTCTAAATTGGTACTATCAATGAATGTTGTCCTCAGATAAGTTTATTTTCATGATGAAGTTTATTTTTTTAAGAGTTTTTGAAGCAAGAGTGGATGCAGCCTCAGAATATTTTGTCTGCTGTGCACTTCTTGCCCTGTAGTTCGTTCTGTTGGCTCCATTGCCCTCAGGAAAGCAGAAGACATTGACTTCAAGTACCACTTTGACTTCTTCAGTGTGAACTTCAATGAAGAGCTGGTGGCGCTGTACGGCGGAAGCCTTCAAAAGCAGACCAAGTTTGTGCACGAGTGCATCAAGGCCATTCTCAAACTTTACAATGTAAGAGGTCAACATGGCACAACCTAGGAGCATGTTTTTATTAAGAAACTCACTACATTTTAAATAATGCATTTGTTAATATGAAAAGAAGAACAAAGGGGGCACAGTTTGGCTTCTTTAAAGTCTATTGTCTTGACCTCCATGGAGTTTTCAAAATTAAATTGTTTTTATAAGAAACCATTCTTACAGATTCAGGGAAAAAAAATTTTTAACTTTATACATAAAGTGTGATACATTTCCTAAAACCCTCGGTAAAGATGCCTGCCTCTAGCCATTCATGCTGCAGTACTGGCACTAGAGTAGACTGCCACATAGGGAAGCAGTGAACAAGAAGTGCTTGTTCCCAGGTGTCAGGCAACATGTAGCAGAGGACTGTCATCCCTGAAAGCAGTGAGCTTCACAATTGTCCTGGCTGTCTGCCTGGAAGCATTTTCCAGGCTGGGGGTAACTAGGTGGCAATCAGGCAGAGTACATTGACATCACTGAGCTGAAGAAGGCAGAGAATTGGGATTTGGGACTGCTGAGGTGGCTGCATGGGGCAGGATAGAAGAAGAAATGAAGCACTTGAGCACGGTGATACACGGCTCTAATCCCAGTACTCAAGAGGCTGGGACGGGGATTGTGAGTTCAAGGTCAGCCTGAGCTACATAGCGGATCTTTCTTAAAAGAAAAGAAGGGAGGGAGGCAGGAGGGAAGAAGAAATGTGTATCTTTTAAATTATTTATTTGTTTGTTTGTTTATTTTTTTTTAATTTATTTATCTGGTACCGGGGATTGAACTCGGGTCCTTGCGCTTGCAAGGCAGGCCACCTAACCACTGAGCTAAATCCCCAGCCCCTTTTAAATAATTTAAAAGACCAGTATCAGAATCATTCTATGCTGGCAATTCCAAACAACACTGAGGATAAAGCAAAACTATTTAATGAAGTGGACCATTTCCACCCTTGGCATGCCACTGTGCAAGACCAGGAGAAGACAGCTACTGGGGAATTGTAAGCCAAATTGACATTTCAGAGCTACAAGCATTCTAATTGAAGAGAAAGGGCCTACCAGAACACAGTTGAGACACCATAAATGACACAATGTAGAATAGGGCTACCCTAGTAATAGCTACTCTAGTATCCACCTTAATAGTGCTTGAACATATGACTCAAAAATACCAGTTAAGGCCAGGCGCAGTGGTGTATGCCTGTAATCCCAGCACTTGGGAGGCTGAGGCAGGAGGATCGCTATGAGTTCAAGACCAGCCTGGGCTACACAGTGAGTTCCAGAGCAATCTGAACTACATAGTGAGACCCTGTCTCAAAAAGCAAACAAACAAACAAACAAAAAACAAAAAAGAATATGCACATAACAAGGGGGTAGATGGGGAATCTCAATAGAGACATGGAAACTACAAGCAAAGAGGATGGAAACAGTGCATATCAAAAATGAAAAGTGCCCTAGGTAGATGTAAATGAGATTGAACATTACTGAAGAAAAGATGACTGGATTTTTACCCACAACAATAAATGCTAACTAAACTGAAGCACAGATGATACAGGACAGACTCAGGAACCTGTGAGACAGTATTAAACAATCTAACACATAAATAATTCAAACACCTGAGGAAGAGGAGAGAGAAATAGGGGAGGAAAAATATTCATAGAACTAACGGCTCCTGGATTGGCAACCCACCGATCCAGGAAGTCTCACTGAATGCCATCCATTACAAACACAAGAAAATCAGACCTTGGGATACCACAGTGAAGTTACTGAAACCTAAAGTAAAGAGAAAATATTAAAAGCAGTAGAGAAAAAATCGATAACTTACAGGGAAAAGGAATAGAAACCACTGATTTCTCATCAGATATAAAGAAGGCCAAAAACGACAGAATAACCTCTTCCAGGTCTTGGTGAAGGGCTGCGTGCATGTGTGGGTAGGGGGTGTTTTCAACTTAAAATTCAAAACTAACAAAATTTTCCTCAGAAATGACGGAAAGGTAAAGCCACCATAGATATCAGTGACACAGCTTGTAGTTATGTCACCAGAAGAAGGAAAGACGAAATAGAAACTTAGGAGGACAGCACAGTAACTGCTATAGACAAGATCCACCAATGAGTGCTAAGATTAGGGGGTGGAAGTTTGAGGAGAAATGGGATATTCAAAATCTCAAAGTGTTACTTCTAGAATATTTTTTAACTACAGTGGACCCTCAAGTTATGATTGCCTGACATACGAACAACTTGAGTTAATTAGGTTAATGGAGGAGTCATCCACCTCTTGTTTTCTATAGCGTGTATCCAGGTGAACGTCCAGATCTCAGCTGTACTGACTTACAACTTGAGTTAAAACTAGCCCTCGGGAACTGATCAAGTTCATAACTCAGGCCCACTGTACAAGGGGAAAGAATAATTTTTCGGTGTGCATAATACACATTACATTGAACAGTTATTATAGCACCATTTACAGCAACCAAAATGTACAGCACCATAAATGTCCCCTGATGGATGACTGGACAGAGAAAATGTGATAAGAGAATTCATGGAATGTTACCCAGCCTTCAAAAAGAAGGAATCCTACAACATGGCTGAGTCTCGGGGACATTCTGCTAAGTGAAATACGCTAGTTTGGAGAAAGGCTGCATTAATTACTCCACTTAGCTGAGTCATTCAGAGTACACCTACAGAAACAAGGGCATAGATGTTTGCTAGGGCCTGGCATAGGGGAAAAGAGTAGCACATTTGTGATTATAAAGTTTCAGTTGTGTAAGATACAAGTTCTGCAGGTTTCTGTGAAACAGTAGTTTGTTAGGACAGTAGATTTCATATTAAGTGTTCTTACTACAATTTTTAAACACACACAATCCAAAGAGAGGAAAGATCAAACAGAAGGTGGAACAAACAGAAAACAAATGGAAAAATGCTTGAGTTAAACATATAAAATAGTGACATTACTTACATCCCAGCTAAAGAGCAAATTTTGTTGGACTGGTTATAAAAAGCATTACATACTCAACTGTATGCTAAAATTGTCTTCTAGGGTCTAGAAAGGCCACTTTAAATGTGTACATCCTGATGGTTTGAAAAGTAACGAATAGGAAAAAAAGCCAAAACAGATCATAAAAAAACTGGTATGGCTAAATTAATGTTAATTAAAGAGATCTCAGGGCAAAATATATTATCAGGAATAAAGAGGGATATTTCCTAAAAACAAAAACAAAACCAAACAATCCCAAGTGTGCATCTAATTAGAACTTCCAAGTGCATAAAGCAAAAACTAACAGAACTGAAGGAAATGGGTAATTCTGCAGTTAGAGACTTGAGCAGGTAGGAGGTCCATAAGACGTAGAAGATTTGGACATTATTAACCAACTTAACCTTATTTGGATTTGCAGAACACTACAACTAACATGGTATTCGGTATTAAAATGTCAAATCAGTATCATTCATCAGTGTATCATCTCCATAGATATGGAAAACCACCTGACTGTTTTCAGATTCATTCATGATTTAACACAATAAAAACCAACGGAGCCAAGTAGTGCTGGAAGAAAACTCCCTCAGCCTGAGTAATTGCAAGTGTTACAGGAGGAAACTAGCCATATTAAACAGGATCTTTCAGATAATTGAAAAGATATTTATTGGATAAGATAAATAAGATGTGATCACATGGTGAGATTTATTTTCCATAAGTGTCATTCACAATAAATCTTTAATGTTATATAGCAGGTAGTTTTTTCTCTTCCCTTTTTTTTATGTTTTCTAATGACTGTGTATTAAAACTAGTAAACGTTTTTTAAACTGAGTTTTTAGAAAGCAAGATTCTTCCAATAAGTAAGTACGGCAGGTGTTAGAGACAGGACAGCTGAATCCCCTGGTGTGGGGAGAGGGAGGACATTCCTGGAGACCTTGTCTATTACATGAGTCTACTTTAGTATACCAGTGAGTGACCTGAAATCCAGGCCTTGTAGAACTTGGTTTGTAGATAATAAGCATAGTAAATAACAAAAATTCATATAACCTCATATCGTTAAAATACCACTGAGGAAAAACAAGGCAGCAAAGGGAAATATAGTAGTCAAAGACAGAGGAGCACAGTTATAAATGAGGACACCTGGGTAAGACCCCTTTGGAGGAGTGGATGATTTAATACACACCAAGGGCGTAAGGAGTGGACCATTTAAATCTAAGAAGAAGCCTGCACGTAGGAAACCGATATATGGACAAGCACACAAGGCTAGACTCACTGGAGTGGGTGGTAAGAGTTGGTAGACACTGGAGGGGAGAGGGGCAGATTGTAGAAACATAAAAGCAATTGTAAGGACTTGTGCCTGTTACTTGGAGTGATACAGAACACCCTAGAGGCTTTAGCATAGAGGAGTGGCACACTCTTAACAGTATTGCAAAAAGAGAGAACAGCTAGGAGGTAATTCGGAGGGAAACAGTGGTGCTGTAAATCAAGTTGGTAGAAGCTGAGGTTGTGTGAAATGGCCGGATTGGTTAAATGTTAAAGAATGAAGCAACAAGATTTGCTGGTAGATCAGAGTAGAGGAAAAGAGTGACAGATGACCCCAGAGTTTTTGGCTGAACAACAAAAGAGCCTGAATTGCTATTAAGTGAAGGGAGAGAGACTGCAGGACTGGGAGAGCCAAGAGTTTAACAGCTCAGCTTGAGGTGCAGTTAGTCCTTCCTAGTACAGCTTTGTGTATTCAGAGCAGGAGGCTGAGGTTCAGGAGAAGAGGGCGGTGTGTGGGTGGACTCACAGCCTCGAGGCTGACGGGGATGAACAGTGAGTGTGGCAAGAGGAGACCAAGGGTGTGGCCTGGCCTCTCCACCATAGGAGCTGAGGGGACGGGAAGAGCCCAGCAGCAGAGGTGGAGAGGAGCTCCCAGCGAGGGCAGAGGAGGAGCAGGAACCTGCTGCCAGGCAATGCAGAGCAAGGCTTCTTAGGAGGGAGGGAGCTGCTCTGCCCAATGCGGCTGCTAGGCCAGGCAGGGTAAGGGTTAACTGTTGGAGGTTCCTGGAGTCAGCTGGAGCCTTGGGGTGAGCACCTGGTGAGAATGGGCTAAAGGGTATATAGAAGCTGAGACAAAGGGACAAGTACTGTATACATCATGACTTCTGAAGAATTTTGCTGTGGAAATATGTAGAGAAAAGTGATCACTAAGGGGAAAGTGAGAGTTAAAAAACAGTTGCTTTAAGCTGGTTGTGGTGGTGCATGTCTGTAGTCAGCTTTCCAGAGGCAGAGCCAGGAGGCCAGCCTGAAATACTTAGACCAATCTGAAAAAACCCAAACAAAGGGCTGGGGATTTAGCTCAGTGGTGCCACCGCCTGCCTTGCAAGCGGATAGTCCTGAGATGGATCCCTGGTACCAAAAAAAAAAAAAAAAAAAAAA